TTTTTTGCATAATGACCAGAACTTTGATACTCTACCATGCCTAACTTTGTAATATGTTTGTGCAATCTTTGTTAAATATCGGTGCAAGATATATGCTGTTCTTAATATTGTGGGTTTTTGTAGCTCTGATGGTGTGATTTCTGAGATATTGTTGTTGTTGTTGTTGTGTCCCTTTTGATCAGTTTTATGTTGACCTTTTCTTTCTCATGTATTGTTAGGGCTTAATCTGGACTAGTGTCAGGAAACATGAATGGGAAACCTGGAATTAAATAACCCAAACAGAGTTTTCCCTTTCATGTTAAAAAAAAGAATCAGCACACTTAAAACACAAAAATGAAAGAGATATCCCGAAACACCTGAAATAAAAGAAATACAAAAATATTTCACAGTGCACGTCCCTAGTGATCGCATCAAGAGTTATACATACTTTACAAAGGAAAAATATGCTCTGCATGTGTCTGTTACTTAGTATTTTTTTAAATTATTAAGCGCTTTGCCTTACAATGCTTAAATAAACTACTTTATTGGTGATATTTTAACTAGAAGACATACATTATTACCCTCTGCTTATCTGAAAACAGCTATGGCAGTTCTAATAGCTTTCTGGAGGGCTTTGCACTGACATATATCTATGCAGACATCTGGGGGCCAGGTAGGGTATTAAGGAATCAAATAGTTACTGACCTGAGCTTGTAGGAAACTAAAACTACAAATCAGGAGAACACCTTTAACAGGAGCAACCAAGGGCACCCTGCCACCCTGAAACAGCACTAGAAAGTAGCTTCTGCAGAGGCAGATGGGGAGAGGGAGAGCAATGGTGTGATTTCCTAGCAAGGATCAGTGAATCACATGAGCCACATGAGGGACTGGATTAAATAGCTTATGTATAGAGTTAAGCACTTCCAACAGCCTGACAAGTACAGCTAACCTTCGGGGAATTCTTACCTCCGTCAGTTGTTCCCTATTCACTGTTCCACTAAGCATGGATCACTAGGACATGCTGTACATTATGAAAGTGTTTTTTCTGTGTGGCTTTCCAGCTGCCCTTGCTTGTCACATTCTTGTCAGGTCCGTGTTCTGCTATGCAGAGGATTAAATTTCTGGTATGCCCCTGGCACACAATGCTTTGAAAGAGTGTGCATCAGAATGGCAAATGTCAGATTCTGGCACAGCAGCAAGAGTGTGTGACGGCCTTGTATGATGTGTGGAAACCACCCTCCCACCTATAAGAAAGTGCAAGGGAGATGTTTGAGGGGAGCAAGCAATCTGTTGGTGTCCATATTTATTTGAGCGTTATATTCTTCCTTTTCTTCCAATGAGGCGTACATGGCCCTCTCCCTGGTTTCACTCTCACAACAATCCTGTCAAGCAGGTCAGACTGAGATAAAGTATCTGGTCTAAGCTCAGCTTCATGGCTCAGTGAAGATTAGCACCTAAATATCCCAACAGAACACTTAATTTAACTACTGTACTGCAGCACTCTGATCAAGCCTGTATCTAGTTCTCATGTTTTAACAAGCCTCTTGCAGCTACAGTTATGAACAAATTTATTTCTAAAGTAATCAGACTGACTTCAATCTGCTCATGACACTATGCCAGACTGGAAAATGAGAAGCTTCATGTACAGTATAGACATACAGGCTTTCCAAAGCGTATGAACCTGCATCACTGGTTATAATGTCTAGAGCTATTGGAAGTGGCAAGCTAATAACATGGAAGTCCACAGTTACCCATTGCTAGCACAGATTCTTTATAGAAAAACTTGGGTGAGAAGGGAGACCACACTTCAGAGGAGATGACTGAGACAAACAGTGGAAACATCCAGCATTGACAGGTGTTTACCAGATCTGTGCCTGGCTCTTCCTATTTTCTGCTACTGTTTCATCCATTATTTACTTTTAAAACATTATGAAAACCAAAATATCTCTCTTCAAATATGTTTCCAGAATGTGCCATGCAGAGCCAAATTCAAAAGAAAAAAAACACATTTTTTTTTACGAATTAAATAAAAAAGAGAAGCAGTCATACAACAATCAAAGAATAGAAATAGCAGTTGTTAAATCAGCTGAACTTCAACAGTGTGAGAGATGTTAATTTTTTTTCTTTCGGCCTGACATAAAAAATGCAACTCTTCCCCAGAGCTGTGCTGAATTGCATGGGATCTTGACAAAAAGGCTTCAGACTTAAGAGAAATTAAAGAACAGATGAGAACTGTGTCACCCCCAAGATAACATTTGCAGCATTTGGACGAACCTCCTTCAGCTGCTCCCCCCCCCTTTAAACTTAAATTAATATTGTCACTTTCCATTCCTGGTAGCCTCTGGGAGTGATGTTCTTGCAATAAACCAGTGTGGGCCCCACATCACACAGAAATTAACCCTGAAATGGGCCTCCAATAATTTTTGGCTTTCATTTTTCATACTTTTCACTCATTTTGAGGGGTAATTCAGGATAGGGCCAGAAAATTGGTCCTTGGATCCTTCAGAGTTCTCCACTCTGCATAAAGGTGTTTTGTGGCCTCATCCTGATGGCAGCCTATTACCAACTGTTTTGTGGGGAAACCTTGTAATGATAAGGTTCCAGCAGAGAAAATCATCTCCCTTCACAGATCTGCAACAAATACCAATTGAATTAAAACAAAAAACTCTTTGCATGTTACGTTAACTTGTTACATGCTCATTATTGCATACTTCCTTAATCTTGGAAAGGAATAGGCAGAAGCAGATGTTAACTGCTGTGAAACTTTCTCCTGACTCAGGACTAATCTACCTCATGCACTCTTAGCTGAAAGCATATATTCCCAGGCAAGGGTCACTTGACTAGTCCAGAAATCAGCTGATTGAGCAGCCTAAAGTCATGCTGAGTACTGGATATGAAGGCAATTTATACACTAAGCACACACGTGGTCTCCACATTAAGCTAAAATGTAAGAGAAAATGTACTGGACCTATGATACCATCCTAAGGTGAACAAAAAGTGTTGAAAAGGAAAGCAGTCCGGGGACAAACCAACCAAAGCAGCAAGGCGATATAGAAAAGAGATATCCCTGCTGTTTGTTTTGTGAGGAAAGGTATGACATGAAGGAGAGTAAAAGGGGTACCAGATGGCAAAAAAGCCATGATGGAGAGTCTCACAGGCGGGGGGGCGGGTGGCCTTGTAGATTAGAACAGGGGGTGACTCTGACTCACTCCAGAAATGCAATGGGTTGCCCCAGCTTCCATTGCAGGCTGGTCTCAGTCTCACAGGCCTATCCAAAATCCTGTTAGCTTTTCCCCTGTGGTGGCACATAAAGACTCCCTAACAGGAGGTAACAGAGTAGCATCTGATGTCTAATGGTGGTGAGTTCACAAGAAGCAGAGACAGCTACAACTGAACTGCTATGCAGCCTGCTCTCGTGCACAGTGTATATGCACTTTAAACCCCTAGCCCTAATAGTTGGGAGGTGATTAGGAAGGTGATGACTTATCTGCTCAAACAGGAGGACCACCTACGCAGGGGATACTGTGGGGAATCAAGGACTATAACTTGTCCTAGTTGAATGCAGAGCCTACAATGACTGTGTGTAGTTTGTAGAGAAAGGGTTAAAAGAGAAGAAGAAACCACACTTTATGATCCAGCACTGTTACAAAACTCAATGTTGCTTTGATCCTACCCAGTTTTGCCTCTGGTGTTACTCATGACCACCTCTGTCTCTGCCCATTGCCAGCATACCCATCCCCCAAAGCCTCTTAGAGAACATGGACCTCAGCAAAAAGAACAGGCTGCATCCCACTTTAAAAGGTCTCCAGGTGCAACCAACTTTTTTAAAAAGCGCATTATCTATTTTGGAAAGGAAGGTAGCAACTGGTTTGCTATTTCACTGCATCACACATCTTTCCCAGTGGTCAAATCTACATTCTCAAGAGCTGATGAGAGCAGTGGCAAAGATTATGAGCAGCCATTATGACAATTTCCATAGCCAAACCCCCTAGAAATAGTCCAAAAATACAGATAGCCATATTGATCCACACCAATAAACGAGTTTTAGGAATTTTCATCTTTACCGGGGCAAGTCTTTTGGAAAACTGAGGCTACTTAGTTGCCTATTCAAGTCCAAAATATTTCCCATAACAGCAGGGAAATGTCAGTCTCAAAGAGATGGGACTGAAGGGTGAGAGGTGACATCATCAGCATTGTTGATTGAAAACTCCTAGAACTGTGACCCTGTGAGCCTTGGTTCCACTACAGCACGAGTAAGCTGTCAGGAATGAAATACAATCTTACCTTGTCTCTGAGATAACTGAATAGGCTTATGCAAGAAATTCTTCATAGCCTGATATCAGATGGGAAACAGCAATATGGAGACAACTGGCCCTTCCAACAAACAGGACCACTGTATAAACTTTCTCTTGTGCAAACACTTGTGTTCACTCAATTAAAGCCCCAGGAATTTGCCTGAAATAGCAGGCACTGTGCATGCCCATTAAGGAATAGCCAGAGCTAGCTCCGAAAGTTTCTAAGGTGGACTTTGTGAAGGGGCAGAAGCCATTTACATGGTGTACAGAGAGCACAAAGGATACAGTTTTTAGTACACTCTAGTATAGTCCATGAAAACTTGTATTATTAACAAATGTGTTAGTGTTTAAGGTGACACAAGACTTGGTTGTTGTTCTTCCTGTTTATTTTTCATTGGCTTAAATCCTGTATACAAAAATTATAGAACTCAGCAAGCAACAGATAAAGTCCATGGAGATTTAACTTTAGGCAATGGGCCTCTAAAAGTTATGCCTTCTCTGATAACTACACAACAGGATTTCATCCATTATAATTCAAGCAAAATCCAACAAGAAAACAACAAATACAACTTTCCCAAAAGCAGCACAAGACAAGTAGTTCCTTTCCATATTCAGTTCAAAATCCTGAATCTACACCTTTGAGTATTCATTATGCCTTTCATGAACAGTGTAATAACATTTCATACATGGCTTAAATTGCACGAGAGATGCTCACAAGTGATCTACCTTAGCACTTTTCCTCAACCTGGCTTCTACCAGATGGGAGCCACGGTCCAACACATCCTTGGCATCATCAAGTGCAGAATCCTTGCTGGTGAAGAAGAGAAAGAGGAGAGGTTAGTTTTGCATCTGGACATTGTGGCCACTTGCATAAAAATAGTTGTGATGTGCACAGTAAATTAGTTCTGTGTTTCCCACCTCCACTGCTTATTTGTTACTAACTGCTGCATGGTTGCCATCAATCGTATCTCAAGCTCTCTCAAGGGAAACACCTCTCCTAAAGATACCAGTTCAGTACTTGGAGCAACAGAACAACATTGCAGCTCTTCGTGACAAGCATCCTCCCAGCACCTTCATAAAAAGAGCTGTCAAAGGTCTTTGCTGGATGCAGTCACTCAGCCTGCTGCTATAGCACAGAAGTCCCCTCACCAAGCACGGAGGGGAAATGTTAGGCAGAGGCAGAGGCTCTGGGACATTTTCCAAGGTCACATGTAAATCAGCCAATGCAGTTTTTCTGACCTCACTCCACAAAACGTGACCGGTGCCACACATGGGCATTTAAACCTTATTAAAGGTATGTACGTACACCTAGTTTTTAGAGCAAAAAGATAACATGTGTAATGGAAATGTTTTCTGGAAACTTTCTTGAAAAGGAAGGTGTTGAAAGAACTGAAGCGAAATGGCAGGAGGCAGAGGGTGGGGAGGAAGAGCCACAATAGCATCCTTTATTAAGCAGATCCTCAGAAGCAAAAGAGGATGCTTCTGTGTTTTCTCTTGCCCTTGTCCTTTCCTCTCTCACAGGGCTACCTCATCCAAATCACTGCAAAGCATATAAACAATCTGTGGTTTGCTATATAATCCTACCGATTGCCCCCTTGCACCTTCGTTTCCTGCCCAGATTGCCTAAAATTGGCATAGTTCCACCTCTGACTTACACAACATGATATCATTGACCTAGGAATACAAATAGCTTTTTAGCACCACAGGGTCTGCTTTGCTCCGGCTCTTGGGATGATGAAAGGGAATACATTGAGATGGCCGTGCTAGCATGCCTCAACATTGCTACACAATTAAAGGTTTACATTCTTAGCTCTGACCTTGAGGACCCGGAGAACTGTACACATAGCCAGTCTGCTAGGCCAGGAGAGTGAATACCAAGGACAAAGCAACCTACAAACCCTGCTCTCTGTACACCTGCCTGACATAACATCCCAGTACACACAGACAGTCTAAACAAGATTAGGCTATGATTAGAAATATGTGCAAGCTCAAAACACAGCTTAGACATTTGATCTAAAGGCATACTGCTTAGTCAACATGAATGTCTGCAGTGAAGATCCAGTCAAAAATTTATCTGTATCTTAATGCATGTAAAATCTGTCTCCCTGCTGCAAGTATGCCACATCTTATGCTCACAGAATGCAAAGTGCAATGTATATATAATGGGGGGAGGGCTTTATCTTGCATTGATTATACATTATGCAAGTTTTTGAGTGACAATGTGCAACTCTGTTCCTTATGAGGTTTATGCACGAGTACAGTAAGATGCTACAACAAACCATCCAAGAGGGATTTTTAATATACCCTCTCTTCCAAACAGGTCAGAGAAATACAAGATCTGTCACTTAGAAAGGCAACAAAAATATATGGTACTTGTGCAGTGGGAAGAAGTAGAGATTTAGGATCAGAAAATAATTATTCCCCCATCTAAGAGGGATGAGAACAAGCTGAAGCCTATAGAAGAAGAGGAAAGGGAGATATACAAATTGGGAGATCACAGCAGCACATTCAAGGAACAACTAGGATGAGACACTTAAACTGGCTCTGTGCCACTCCTCCTATAGATTTTCCTTTCAGCGAGATAATTGAATGTTCCCAAATCAAGTGGTAAGCATCACCAGATAAACTCTCCCTGGAGCTCTAGGAAGCCTTTAAGACTTTCTGTAGTGAAACCCAAGAGAGTTCAAGGGCAAGACAAGGTCACATCTTCATCATTCAAACCAGTGGTTCCCAAACTCAGCTCCCCAGACCTTGTGTATCTACAACTGCCAGAAAGCTGCAGCCAATACATCCAAGTGTCAGGGCTTCAATGGAGTTGTGGCCCAACATCAACCCTGCTTGGGATGTGCCCACTAGCCACAAATAGGGATCATAGAATAATGACTCTGGAAGGGGCCTATAAGGTCATCCAATCCAACCCCCTGCTCGATGCAGGAACACAACTCAAAGGATATCTGCCAGGTAGTTGTCTAAGTTTCTCTTAAATGCCTCCAGTGTCGGAGCACTCACCAACTCCCGAGGTAACTGGTTCCACTGTCCTACTGCTCTAACAGGAAGTTTTAGGATCATAACTCTCTTCTCCCTCCCCGACTTCCTCGTTCAAAAAACAGGGGAGGCACTGAAAAAAGCCGGCAAGCCGGCTGTGGCTTGAAAGAGGGGCAGCAGGGAGGCGACTCGGGAGAGCGGATCCCCCTCCTCTAGGGCTGAGGAACTTTCTCTCCCTCCCGGCTGCCGAGCGGAAGCCCGTGCGCGCGCCCCCGGCCGTCGGGCCTCGGAGAGCTTCTCCGCGGGATAACAACATGTGGCCGGGGGCACACGCCGACGCCGAGGCGTAAGTCCTGCTCCTCCAGGACCAAGCGCCGCCTGGGAAGCCGCGACTTCGGAGCCTCGGGAGCGCGCCCAAGTGTCTGCCTGGCCGCGCGAGAAAACTCTGCCCGCCCCCCCCCCGAAAGCACGGAGCAAGTCAAGTCAAGCCCAGCTGGCC